CCCCCGTGCGTCATTTTTAAAGGTGGTGTTTTTTACTACAAGGTATGTTGAGAACAAAAAGCTGCTCACGTCAGAAGGGAGATATCACTGAACCGCTACTACAGAGAAAAAAAAACAACAAACCCTTTGTTTAAAAGAATATATGTAATTTTTATCTTTTTTTGTTTGTTTGTTTGTTTGTTTTTTTGTTTCCTTTGCAATCATTAGGCACAAAATAATACTGCGGAATAACCATAGTGAGATTGAGACACCCATCTTACCATTTCACCAGTTTCATGTAACCACAAAGTAATCACCATATGGTATTATGTGGCAAAAAATGTCTTTGTTTTGAAGGAGCATTTCAGGAGCAAAGGTCGGAGCTTGTCTCTCAGCTAGCTTATTGGTGAAGAAATGCTCCGGCGTCCTGTTTAGGTTCAAACTGTGGAGCGCCTGACATAACTCTTCCACTCGGTCAGTAATTACTTTTGCCCTTTTTTTAAAAAGTGAAATTTCACATAAAAGCTGCTTGTAAATCCTGTAGCTTGACAACAAGGGGGAAGTGTTTTTGCGGTGATATTTCTTATTGGTCTTTTTTTTTTTTTTCCCTTCTTTTTTCGTGTGTGTGTGTGTGACTCTGTTAAAGGGGAGCACATAGCGGTGGAGTCCCAACGCGTGTGCTGGCCTGGTGGGGGGGGGGAAAGGAAGGGATTCCCGCTGGGGAGGGGGGAGTGAAGTGGGAAGTCGGATACTGACACCAGCCGGCGTTCAAAAAGGAGGAGAGAAGCACCGCCACCACCCCCCACCCACCCACCACCCACCACCACCAACCACCACCACCACCCCCAGACCCCACCACCTCAGGCCTAGAGGTCCTGTTGTCCCCAACAAGACGCAACCCGGGGGGCACGGGGGCCCAACACAGGCGAAGAGCAGCGACAGGGCACAGGAGACGAAAGGATCCGGCCCAGTTAAAGGAAGACAGTCAACGGCTGGTTCTAGATAACCCTTTGGCCTTATGACTCATGGACTTGGAGTGGAAATGGAGCTGGACATTATCATTTGAATTAAGATGGCTTTTCTCTATTTTTTTTTTCTCTCTCTCTCTCTGTCTCTCTCTCTAGACAGCCCTTAATTCTTTAAGAAATTTTAAAACAACTTAGAAAAGGTAAATAAGAATGGTAATCTGAGGCCTTTCTCGACAAAGATTTCGTCTTCAGCAGGGGCCCCACATAACAGGGTCTTTATTGTACACAACAACCTCCTAAACATTACTTCCTTGAAGTTCACTGGTTAAGGATTTTGCAATGGAAAGAACTTTTTATTCCAGAGTCTACCTTTTTTTTTTTTTTTTTTTTTTTTTTTTTCCTTCCTCCCCTTTTTGCATGTAGTCCCTCATTAGAACCACCCGCACAAGTCTCTCCATCCAAAACATGGAAACTGAAGAAAAAGAAAAAACAAAACCAAAAAAAAAAAAAGAGTTAAGTGACTGCCTTTTTTTCTCCTCAAATTATGCTGTGAATTTTACAAGAATTTATTTTCCCTTTGGATATGTTTTTATACCAAAGCAGTTGTTTTATAGCATATAGGTGTCTGTAACCAATAATGTAGCAGTTCACCACTTTGACGCAAAGTTTATCGAGATCTTATTTTAATGTCAACACAAAACAGCTGCAATATATTTACTTTTAGCAAAACTGGAGACCGTTGGCTATTGTGTATTCTGGCCCGATTTGTTTGCAACGTTTTACCAAAACTTTTTTCCATATTAAATTGGTAGATTATTTTGGGAGTCTTTAAAAAAAAGAAAACAAACAAGAAAACCGGGGGAAAAAAACTTGGTATGTTAGAGAACTTGGTAGTTACTCTGCAGGCTACAGAGTAGCAAGATAGAGACTGATGGTTTGAAAAAAACAAAAAGGAGACTAATGCGTTATATTTCTGTGTTGCCAGTTCTTTTTTTTTTCTTTTTCTTTTTTTTTTTTTTTTTTTTTTTCTTTTTTTTTTGACCCTCCCCCCCCCATCATACTATTTCAAAGGGTGTTGCTGCCTTTCATACATCATTTGGTCAACTTAGCTAGTTTCTGCCGTGATGCAAGACTTTGTCATTGTCTTGCCAGGGTAAGGGTATTTGTGGTAAACCAGTTTGTGTTGAATGGTATAGTTCTGATTTTGGTAGGTCAAATCCCCATGATTGTTGTCCTATTCAAAGGGGGGAAAAAAAGGTGTCTTGTCAGCCCCACCATAACAGTGCTTTGCCTAGGCAGACATGCATGTCCTCAAAACAGTCGATAACCAGAATAATTTTTTTTTATATCAGGGATTTTAAAGTGCTTTCTTTGTTCTGTTGTTCATTTTTACCACTTTTGAAATTTGAAAAATAAAAACAAAAGTATTTAAAAAAAGAAAAAAAAACTGCCCACTGTCACCTTGCCAATTAAGGGCGGGCCACAGGTCATGCTGTTGTCATTTTCTAAGAGATCCCATCCTTTCAGCAGCCATGCTTGGTATTTCCACGAACACAAATGTAAAGCTACCTATATTGAAGATTGGGGTTTGATCTGGATGTCAAGGTTAATTGCAGATTTGCAATCATTTTATTTTTATTTTCATACCCCGCTGAATTTGAGACATTTAGATCTTTTGTCAGTGGTTTTTAAAACTGGCACTCATACTGGTACTAAACATTCCAAAAATAAAGACTGAAAAAAGAAAAAAATTTGACTGAAGTGACTCGTAAGTGTGCGCCTATTTCAGATCATGCTGATTGACCTCTTACTTAGAGCAGTTGTCATGAAATGCAGCCCCTTTTTAATAGTTGAAATAGAATTTATGTATATATTTATATTTTTTTAATAAAGGAAGTATAGAACTCACTACCTTGCTCCTGCTGGTATGTTGATTATGTTTGTCAATTTGGTGACCATTCAGTGGGCAGGAACTCCTGTTTTCTTAGTGGCAAAACCTTGCCTTTTGGCAAAGGTACTTGACTACATCAGGACAACACTATGAGGTAGGGTTTGAATCAAACAGGGAAAGCTAGATCTTCAAACCTTAATAATTTTCACAGGGTATATTGTAAGTGCATGTACATCACAAACCTTACTTTTGGTTATATGAGAAGCACATGGTTGAAAAAAAATGGTTCCATCTTTCATAATAAGCCTGTTGAGTTTGTGGGTTATACACACAGATAATTGTCGACATATCTGAACACCCAACCGAAGTTGAAATCCTTTTTATTTAACTTGGATTTAGCTTTTTTTTTTTCTTTCTTTCTTTCTTTTTTTCATTTTTTGGTTTCACTTTTTTTTTCCCACTTTTTTTGTACATGCAACATGCACTATAGAATTGAACAGCATGGGGGAAAGGATAAGTCCATGTATCCACAGATTGTAAGATCTAGTCAAGACTTTGCTGTGTTTATGACAATGCCCTTTGTATTATATTAAGACAGTCTTATGTATGATATATAAAAGAAGTTAATTGAATCGCTTTGTGTCATCATTGTTTTTCTTTCTGACAACATTAACACCGCTGCTGCATTAAATAAAAGCCGTACCGAAAAAAAACGCACAAATAGACGGTCCATGAAAATATTACAACATAACCAGGAACGGATGTCGATACGCCTTCAGTCAATATTTAACAATATCCTGCGCGGTTGATGATGCCGTGGCTCGTTGGTCTAGGGGTATGATTCTCGCTTCGGGTGCGAGAGGTCCCGGGTTCAAATCCCGGACGAGCCCTATGTATTTTTGCTCAAATCTGCGATTTTAAAGAAAGGTACATCTTTCACAAACTTTGAAGAGGTAATTGAATTTCTAGCACTTTAATAATGTGAATGGTGAAGAATAATACAGTTTATTGCGTATACTGGACACGCAGTCCTGTTACGGAGAGAAAGAGCGTGTTGTTTATACTTAACTTTATTGAACTTGAAATAACGAATGATAAGGGAAAACTAAAACTAAAAAAGGAGGGCTCGTCCGGGATTTGAACCCGGGACCTCTCGCACCCTAAGCGAGAATCATACCCCTAGACCAACGAGCCGTCGAAATGGCGCTCCCAGAGTGTGGTCTTCAAGAGCGGTCATGTGCATGTATGTACAGCCACAGACTATATTCACAATTTTATGTTGAAAAATACGAAAGAGGCCATTACTCCATGACCAAAGAACAAAGCCAAACGAACGTTAGACTTCCCACGTAAACGTCACCGCCATATTGTGACTGGCATTTTTCTTAAACACATAGAAAGTCGTCCAAGACAGTCAGTCTTCTTTAGGTTAAGCGTTGAGACTATGTCGTCTCTTTTCAATGGATTGGAACCACATGTCTCTGCAACAGGACATTTCCTGAAGCTAGAAAGATTTTTTTGTCCCCTGTTGTCCCCCATTAGCTCTCCCGTGAGTGTATCACATGGGTCCACTTGGGGGTCAATCATTTTTGCTCTGTGAAACCTCTCCCTCTGAAACACCAACAGAAAGTGAAATATATCTACAGATTCTCCCATCACATGTGGATAAAAATAAATGGTCTTCTTCTGACACTAAGCTTGCTCTGGGTTGAGATTTCTATTAGGTGAAACTTACTGACACAGGTGTGCACAGACTGCACTAATTAAGTATCATTAAAACAAGATTTAACAAAATAAGATATTATGTTTTTGGCACACTATGTGTTAAAACTATTTCTCAGCTGCTAGATGAAGGTAACTTTTGTGATTTTTATAGAGAAAACGTCATTTCAAAAGCATACTTCTTTTTGGACCCCAAGGAGAACACGCCACTCACAACATGGCGGATGACCAGATAACCCGTGTTTTATCTGCTGTTATCAGATGCCTGTGGGTGGCAGCAGAGTGCTGCAGGAAGTTAAGGTAATCACGTCAGATAGAATAAAGAAGAAAAAAAACAAATGCCTAGCTGAAATTCTATTGGTCTGTCTGATAATTCGATTGACCAATAGTTATACAAATGATTCTTCATTCGTCCAATTACATTCGTCGTGGGCGGGACATGCCGCTGCAAAATGAAGTCGCATGAGTCCAAACGTAACTGTCGTTTGTGTGGCGGTTTTCTGGATTGTTGATCTGTTCTTGAGATGTTTGCGAGACATTTCTTTGCCAAAGTCGGAGTCCAGCTTTGATTTGAGAATCCCACCGGTGGATTTGGCTTCTTGAAAGGATATCGAGCCTATCAGAGGACGTTAGCCAGCGAAGTTAGCCAAGCTAACCGGCCAGACTCAAACATGCCGAATTTTTGCGCGGCTCCAAACTGCACACGGAAGAGTACGCAGTCCGACTTGGCATTTTTTCGGTTTCCCCGAGACCCTGAGAGGTAAAGGAACACGAAACGCGTCGCACACAAAGACGACCTTAAAGGACTTCTAAAAGTCCCGCTAACTTTCCAGGAGTTGTTTGTTTTGTGTATGTTGAGCGCAAGTTGATGAAAATGAAGTCTTTACCTGCGACCACATCCTCTCAGAGGATTCAACTTTAGACAGTAAAATGCCTGTCTGTCTGATCACATAAGTAAAACATATTAAATGAAATCGCTTATTCAGTCCTTTGGTAGCTTTTATCCCTAATATTAATCATTTATGTTTTACTTAAACTTGAGTAAAACTATGTTGAAGTAGTCCCAATACTTTTTGGGTACTCTGGTTGTTGTTTTTTATGTCAAAATTCTGTACTTTTTTTTGCAAATTAAAATCCCCCAAGTTGCATTTAAACTGTAAATATGAAAGTTTAATGATGATATTGTTGCAGAGGTAAGCCATTAGATAGGAAATCTTCACAAACAGCAGACTTAGGGGGTGGATTGGATGGGCAAATGAATGGAGGGGGGATCAATTGAGTGCTGCAGAAGCAGACAAACAAATAAATGGAGTGGAAAATAGATCGATGAGTGGATTTTGAAAATGGGACAGGAAATACAACCATTTTTTTTCTTTCCACAAAAATATTTAGAATGTAGTTCTAGCAATCATAATAGTCTGAAAGATGAATATAAAAAATAAAAAAAAAACATATTCTAAACACTTTTACTTGGGAGAGTATGACTACATCGTCGAAACGTGAAGTAAAATGTCATGTTTTAGAAACCCGTTATTTGTCTCTGCTTCCAGATGCAGAATCTGGGTGGAGAATTGCCGCAGGGCGGATCTCGAAGCCAAAACAGCCGACCAGTTGAACAAGCACTACAGATTATGTGCCAAACACTTTGACCCTGCCATGGTGTGCAAAACTGTGAGTGTCGACGCCATCGGTGTTTCAGCACTTGCATGGCAAATCTGCGTCTGGTGTAATTCTGTGTTTACATAATCTGCTTTTCCTTTCAGAGCCCCTACAGGACGGTGTTAAAGGACACGGCCATCCCAACCATTTTTGATTTGACGAGCCATCTGAAAAACCCTTACACCAGGCACAGGAAGCAGATAAAAGAGCTTGTAAGGGAAAAATAAATCTGGTTTAATAATTCAGCTAACTTGACTACTTTTTGTGTGTGTGAGTTAATCCCAGTTTCTTAATTTTCCCTAGACTGATGAAGATATACAGAGGATTAAAGAGAGACGATGTAAGTATTAGGGGGACTGTTTATAGATACTTTAGTGTCAGTTTATTTATGCATGAGAAAATTGACTGGTGACTGGAATTGACTATTTTGACGGTTAATGGAATAAGTAAAATGGCACCTTCTGTTGATTTTTTTAAGCCTTGTTTATGTGATATTAGAAATACATCAAGTTGCTAATAAAAACATGTAATTAATTTTTAAATGGGGGGGAAAAAAGCATTTTTCTTCGCCTCAAATGCAACAACGTAGAATTTTTTTTATTGTGTGCTTGATTATTTGCAGCATAGGACGAAGCAGCTAAAGAGATTTTGCCAACAGTATGGCTAACATAGGATATGAAAGACAATTTCATATCAAATTAGAAGTTAAGTTTTTTTTAAAGGTACTTTAAGAAAGCAAAATATTTTGTGGCAACCAGAGATATTAATTTTGTTTGTCACTGACAAATGGTGCATCTCCATTGAATTATTTGTTGATCTAAAACAACCTGTGTTCCTTGTGTCTCTTTCCTCAGTGGCTTCTGCTGAGCAGACCATCAAAAAAGAGGATCTGTCAAACATGGTTGACAACGAGCCTCAACTCTCAGCCGATGAGAAAGATTACCGGGATTATTTAAGGTCTTTGTTTGAGATTCTGTTCATGCTGGCAAAACAAGCAATCCCTTTGACCGCCGGCAGAGTATCCGAAGAAGAACTCAAGTCCAACAACTTCCAGGCTCTCATAGATTACTGCATGAATGCCGGAGACGAGGCTCTGAGGAAGAGATTCGAGGTGACTGCGGTGAACAGCGAGTACCTCAGCGCCGCCCAGCTGAGTCAGCTCCTCGACGTTTGCGAGAACACGGTGAGGGAGGAGATGCTCATGGAGGTGAGAGAGAGTCGTTTCTACTCCCTGGTGACGGGCGACCTGGTCGAATTCGCCAACAGCAAACACTTGCCCGTGTTCCTCCGCTTCGTCAACCAGCAGAACGTCCTCAGAGAGGAGTTCGTGGACTTCCTCCCGTTCGTGGACGGAGACGAGGCGGCGCTGGTGGAAAGCCTGGAGGCTCTCCTGGTGGACCGCTGGGGACTCAGCATGGAGGACTGCCGCGGTCAGGCCCACAAGGCCACCGGGACCTCCACCACGAAGATGAAAGCCGTCGCCGTACTGCTCATGGAGAAGTACCCTCTCGCGCTGCACATGCCTTGCTCGCATATGGCGCTGAACATCCACCTCGCCAACAACCTGCCTTTCCCCAACGTGCAGATTGTCATGGAGAATCTGAGGAGGATTACATCCTTCTTTAAAACCCCACACACTCTAGATGAGCTGGAAAAGGCCATCTCCATTCAGTTCCAGAAGAACGAGGAGAAAGGAAATGCTCTGAAAAAGATGTGCTCCTCCGGATGGACGGAGCAACACAACATCTTTGACGTGCTGCTGGATATATTACCTTCACTCCTGCTGTGCATGGATAGCATTCGGGACAATGCCAACGGAAAGTTTTCCAGTTGCGTCTCTGCGGAGGCGTACTCCATCGGAGAAAGCATCGCGGACTTTGAGGTGGTTGTCACCGTCGTCATCTTGAAGAACGTTCTGACGTTCACCAGAGCCTTCGGGAGAAACCTTCAGGGGGAAACGCTCGACGTGTTCTCCGCCGCAAACAGCCTAACGGCGGTTCTGTACTCTCTCAATGAGGTCAACGATAACATCGACGTGTACCACGAGTTCTGGTACAGCGAGGCCGTCAGCTTGGCCGCCCTCATGCAGATCCCCGTGTCCGTCCCGAGGCTCTTCCTCCGGAAGCAGCGGGCGGCCGACCTCGGAGAGATCCAGGCCGAGACCTACTTCAAGGAGTACGTGACCGTACCCGTGATCCGCGGCATCATGCAGGAGGTGGAGGACATGTTCTGCGACAACAACCTCCGAGCTCTCAAATGCCTGTCGCTGGTTCCGGCCGTCATGGGCCACATGAAGTTCAACACCACGGAGGAGAACTTCGCCGAGGTCTACAGCGGCGACCTCCCGAACCCGGACACGCTTCCTGCCGAGCTCCACTGCTGGCGAATCAAATGGAAGCACAGAGGGAAAGAGGTGCGCTTGCCCACCACCATCCACGAGACCCTGCAGCTGCCGGACGTCAAGTTCTTTCCCAACGTGGACGCCTTCCTCAAGGTGCTGTCCACCATGCCGGTGCTCAAAGTGGAGAAAGGCACAGGCGATACCGCCACCGAGCGGCTGCAGGCGTACCTCGGCAGCGTGCCTGCGAAGCATTTAAACAAAAGTCTCGCGATGCTCCACATCAACACCCACGTCAAGCACGACCTGGACGTCATGGTGGACAAATACTGCCGGCTGTACCCCGAGGACGATCCTGAGGCTGAAGCCGAGGACGTTGGTGACGACGTTATTGTGACCAAAGTGATCTGAAGCTTTGGGTCAGATTCTCACTTGTTACCTTGGGTAAAATACCACAGTTTTAACTGCCAAAAAAAATAGTAGAATGTTATCTTATTGCTGCATCTGCAATAAATTACGTTACAAGAACAAAGATAAGAAAATTAGAATAAACTTGTGAGAATTAAGTAATGTTACAAAAATAAATTTGTACAATAATAAAATCAAAAGTAATACAAGAATAAAGTCGAATTGTGACTTTAGTCTCGTAAAATGATCATTTTCTTAATACTGTGACTGTATTATTGTACAAGTTTATTACGTAGCATAACTTAATGTGATACTAACACTTTACGCTCAATTCGATTATTCTCTTAATTCAACTTTTTTGTTCTCAAAGTAAATATTCTTGTCATATTGTAACTTTATTCTTGTAATTTCTGACTTTATTCTAATTTATTTAAAACATTGTTTTGTTTTTTAGTTCGGCCCAAATACTCCATTGTACTTTAAACGTTTTCAAACAAGCAATGAAATCTTTCTTGGAAATTGGTTAATAAACGGAGCAACGAAGCTTCAGCTCGTCAGCAGAACGACGGCGGTCTGCGTTACGGTTCGCTCTGAAATTCAAACGGATGCAAAGTGGATGTTTGTTCTTTTTTATAAAAATCAATTTATGTAGCTTAGAATTTTGACTTTTAACTAAAAAGGATAGGAAGCGTTTATTGTGTAAATATTCAGTGTTTCTCCAACAAACTTGAGTCTTGAACGTGACGATGTCGTTATAAAATGAATCAAATCTTTGGTGGTTTTTTTTTTTTCCATCTTTTTATTATTATTAGCCTTTTGATATTTGTGACTTTTGTAATTGATCTGATGACTTCTGTGGGTTTGTTTTTTTTTAATCAAATGAAATGATGCAGGCAGATCACTTGGTTCTCTAGAGAAAGGCTCTTCAATGTCATTCTAGTCTTTCATACACGTTGGAAGTTCGTCTATACTATGTTCATTTATTGTGTTATGCCTAAACAAAATGTGACACTCGGGTGTTTTGTTTTTTTTCTACTCGTGCTTTGAACACGATTTTGTTTTTGCATATTTTTTGTGGAAAATGTTCAATTTGTTGCAATTAAATGCCTTGTAAATAACATAAAATCTGTTCCCTTTTTATTTTTTCCATGTTTAGGTCATTAGTTCATGCTTTTGGTCCTGCAGAAATCTTAAAGTTGTACATTAAAATAATCTATTCAAGCAGGTTTGTTCAAGTGAGCAGTTATGTCAGCATTAAACATCACGTCCTGACCAGCTCTAATATATAGCTCACAAACATAAACCAGTGTAGTTCAATTCACAAAGTTGTTAATGCAATTTAGACAAAAAAGAGCAATATTTTCAACAGAAATGCTGACGAGCGACTGCAAGCAGAGGTCATACTGTCAGTCCTTCAGGGGCTTAACTGTTTAAGTCTCAGCATCAAAGTTGCTGAGTCACACAAACAGACAAAAGTAATTACACTATTACAAATGACCTTAAATGTTTCTCCGTATATTACAGAGCTGGATTGTTGTTCAATTTAAATAAAAAGAAAAAATCAAACCAAAAAAATGTTTTCGACTTTGATTTGTGTTTTTTTTTCTGTTCATTTTGATGATTCTGGATGTCAATTTTTACCTGAATAAATAAATAAATTACAAATTAAATATATTTCATTCTGAGAAAAGTTTCTCTGTATGCATACATGCTCTCAATACTTAAACTCCGTGAATTTCTGATAAAAAAAAAAACTTTCCAGGTTTCTGAATTTTAAAAGAATATATTTTCAAAAACACAAAGTCTCAAGAATTTCAATGACCTGTGGAAAGATTTTCTGTTTTGTAACCGTATGGTTGAAGGCTGCACATTAAATCCACTTTGTTTCACTGATTCTTTTCTGACACAACTCCAAGCTTTTGATGTTTTTTTTTCTTTTTATTGATAATATATTAGGCGGAAGCTATTGAAATCTGGACAGTCCTTGAATTTCATGTCAACCGAGGTGTGACAACCATAAATATCCTTTTCACTTTTTTTTTACCTTTTCATTTGTTACTTCATTTACTGCCATGCGCCTGTGTCTGCGTCTGGACGCGTTAATTAATGCTCTTTGGTTATTTTCCTTTCTGAACGTGGCAACATGGCAGCAGCAGCAGCAGCAGGGTTAACTGGATCTCCTCCCTCTCCGCGCCGGACGGACGCAGACGGAGTTTCAGGTGATGTTTCTCCGTACGGCCCACGCGGGGCATCGCACAAATGTGGGGTGGGGTCGCTTTGATGCGCAACCAGGCGGCGATGCTCACTCCACGGTTCGCCCCAAAGTCCTAAACTTCACCGAGACCGAGGCGCCCTGCAGAGGGAGGCGAGCTGTTCGAGGGGATCTGCGGATTTGGAGACTTTTGCATCTTTTTCTTTTCATGTGTTTTATTATTTACCCCCCTCCTCCTCTTGTCCACGGATAGAGCCTTTTCCTCGCCTTGCCCATCCTCTCCACTCAGCTTCCTCTTCGGGTTGAGCGCTATGGCCTGGCCGTGCATCACGCGCGCGTGCTGCATCAACCGCTTTTGGACCGAGCTGGACAAGGCGGACATCGCGGTGCCTCTGGTTTTCACCAAATACTCGGATGTGGCCGACGTGCAGCACCTGCCCCACCACCCGCAGCCCCGGCAGAAGAAGGCCGCGGCCATCGCCATAGAAACCCAGCCGCATCCGGAGGAGCGAGAGGCCGCCAAGGCGCCGCCCGCGGCGGGGGGCGCCGCAGCGGCCAAAGACGACGCGTCCGCTGCGTCCGTCATGCGCCAAGACTTCAAGGCGTGGAGAGTGCGCCCCGAGCCCAGCTGCAAGCCCCGGAACGAGTACCAGCGGCCGCCGGCGCCGTTCAACAACGAGACTCAGTACCAGAAGGACTACAAGCCCTGGCCCATACCGAGGAAGCACGACCACCCCTGGATCCCCAAGCCCAGTCCCACCGCCGGCTCCAAGCTGGAGCACGCGGCGGCCGCTGGCGAGAGCGAGAGCGGCGTGGAGAAGAGCGAAATCGAGGAGAAGATTCAAGAGAAGGAGTCAAAGGAGGCGGCGAGGAGGGAGAAGTCCGCGGAGAGGAAAGCGGCAGAGAAGACGGAGGGACCCGCAGAGGGGAGCGCAGAGCAGCGGAGAGGCAGAGCGGCAGCGGACGCTCTCAACAGACAGATAAAGGAGGTCATGTCGACTTCTAGCAGCTACAGGTAAGAGGGTGAAGCCAGGACAAAGCTGCAGCTTTTATCCTGCAACCCTTTCACGCATGATAGGATATATATATTTATTTATATGTACTGCATTATTTGTGGGCATGAAACATGTTCCACTTGACGTACATATATTCTATATGTGGGGGGAAATCAAAGCATCTGAAGGAACCATGCAGAATTTACTTTGGGCCCACCTCCAGCCATGCCCACCCAGCTTGATGGAACAATCAATGCGTCGACAATAAATCAAGCGACAGAATGGGTTTTGCCTAATCAACACAGCAGTGACTTCACAAATTTGATCGAATGCATACAAGTATATTCTAAAAACAGGTTTTTGCAAAGTGATCCTGGAGCGTTCAGAAGACAACAGGAAGCAAACAAAGAGTTAAAATCACCGCATGGGATCGTTGAAGTAAAAATTGAATTAGAAGAGTTTTTGTCATTAGGATGTCATTTCCTTTGTTTAGACGTTGATGTGTGCGATACTTCATATTGTGGCATCGATTCCATAGCAATTAAATACAAGGCGACCACGATACTGAGCCTGATACTTTTTATTCAAGTTCATACAACCTCAAGCTTTTTACCATTTTTTTCTGTTTGTGTGTGTGTGTGTGTGTGTGTGTGTGTGTGTGTGTGTGTGTGTGTGTGTGTGTGTGTGTGTGTGTGTGTGGTTTTTCCTTTTAAATGTTCAGAGACTAAATTTGGAAGGAGGAAAATCCTTTCACAGCATATTAACATAATAAAGAGAAATAACAGAGGAACAAAACATATTTGTGTGGATCTAAAAAAATTATCATTTGAAAAACAAAATCTTACTCAACTAGAGTTGAGATTGAAAGTACAATTTCAAGAGGGAATTTGAAACTATCTCACCAGGAGAGTATCAATCTGATGCTAATATCAACTTAGCATTGATATGCTATGCTAAAGTAAATCATTTGTGTTTTGGAAGCTGCCAACCTGTGGCGGTCGCCATCAACTGCTGAAAAAAGCGATTACTTGCTGATTTATTGACACAAAAAAATGTAAAGGCGTGCCGGAAATGAAGCAGGAGAAATAATAAAATTTGCATTGAAGTATGACTGGTATAATGTCTAATAATATTTTCCTTATTATATGTGCAACTGGTTTGTTTGTAGACCTGTACTTTGTGAATTCAAGTACTTCTGACCTAACCAGCCACAAACTGTACTTAAACCTGTGTGGCATGTTTTTGATTGTAAACTATAAACTATAATTAAAATAAGCTCAGTATCAGAAAAAACCCCAAAACATTTAGCTTCAATGGCTCTGCTTTCTGTGCATCATTTTGGACATGTTCTACAGCTCCTGTCACTGCCTTGCTAACTATAGCTGATCCCCAGTACTTGAATTAAAAAACAGCCGGTCTCGACAGGTGATATTGGCTTTATTTCTCCTTTGATGATTTTGCTGGATCATCGTCAGGTCACTTGACTTCAAACCTCCTTCATCATCACCATCACCATCACCACCAGCATCACCGTGAAAACTAAACAAATACAAATATTAAAATACAAACACAAATCAACAATACAACAACAAACAAAAACGTACCTCGCTGCCTTTACTGGGGAACGCCATTTCTTAGTCCAACGTTTGACAGTTCATTTGGTTCACTGCAATTCCCCAGTTTTATAGGCCCTGCCCTCTTTCTCTACGGCAGCCCGTGAGGTACGTATTAAACAAAAAAATGCCAAAACATTACAAAATACCATTAAACCAAATAAATCACCAACAATGCAAACCAAAACAGACAAACATACATAAACAATCTGCAACAGTCTTATATTAGAAATTCATTTAAATAATTTAATTTAAATAAACTACAAATAATTTAGACATTTCATTTTACAATCCGTTACACTAACTATTTTGCTAAAATATTGACTCTGTTTTCCTTCAGGACTTTTCTGGAAACTAAATGAAACTCACACAATTAAGCAATTCTGCTAATGATATCCTGGGTCAGACTGGCGACCTGTCCAGCGTGACCCCGCCTCTAGCCCCAAGTGTTCACTGGAGATAGGCACCAGCACCTCCCGACCCCACTAGGGACAAGGATGTTAGAAAATGGACGGATGAATGCTAATAATATGTCTTTGGGGACAAAACCACACAACTTATGGTCTAAAAGCAAAATGGCTGTGATATTATCTCCTGTGGAAGTGTTTTCAAGAATAGTTCAACTCCATTATTGGTGAAAATGTCATAAAATAACAATAATAATACAAAAAAATCAGAATGTTTGTAATTTTTAAAATACTTGTTAGTGATTTTATTTTTGCTGACAGTATTTTTTTCTTAACCTGTGAGGATGCCCTACAGAAGGATGTTGCAATACATGTTTTGTGATCTTACTCTAGCTTGCCAGTAGGGGGCAGTGTATGGCACACCACACAAGACTGACTCAGAAGAAAACGGCTTTAGCGTAGCTTTCCAATGTGGCGAACAGTGAGGTCAAACAGAAGATTTTCTTGAACTTTAACCCTGAAGATAGAGCCTGATGCCTCACTGCTTGTGTTGAGGATCTTTTATTTTTTTTTAAATAAAAAGATATTTGCTCGGAGGTCATGAAAAGATATTTGGTGTTTCATCGTCTCCCATTTCAGTCTAACCAGAAAGCAAGTGATACTGCAACAGATAAGGGTTTCATCATCGATTCCACCGCCGCCTTCCCGGGATTACTGCCTAATCAATGCTCTTGACCCTGAGAGAATGGGGTCAGTAAAAGGGTCTGAAGGCAACCGAGTGTGTGTGGACGTTTTCTATAGAAAAGCACCCATCAGTCTTTTGGCCAACATCAATTTCCAGTTTCCTTTAAAGTTCGATTTTAACTGAGCCAGATCGATTCTCTTTCAAAGGACTACAAGGCGCACAACCTGATCGGTGTTGGCATCATTAAATGTAACAAAGTTTGACTACAAAAGAGAAAAGAAAAAAAAAAGACGTTTAAAAATGTTTTAATTATACAATCTGTTGTTTACCAAATGAAAAAGTAGGATTTTTCAGCTTTAATGCATCACATGAGCAGGAAAAATACAATATGATTCTAGTGGACTGTCGAATCATCAATCAGAACCTGCCAAAGGAAATCAATGCTACTGATTAGTTTGACAGAAAAGCAAGTCGAGCCAAACAAAAGTATATAAAAAAAAGCCGTCATCTAATGACGCCTAACTCACTTTCGTGAGGAAAACATTTTGAAGTTCTACAGTTTTGCCTCAGCAATCACTGATCCCAAGTTACTCGACTTGTCAAAGTGTTTGGGGAATGCAGTGTAGACCTGTGTCCTAACTGTCCACGGGTCTACACTTGTGCATTTTCCATCCAGTTAACCCAGAGAAATTAGATTACGCAGATTTTAAAGTAGAACTCGAAAAATCAAGTTCTGACTTTAGTCCAAAGGGGCCGTTTCTAAGCACAAATGAAAACCCAGTCATTAAGGGAAAAGCAGGCAGAGATAAACAGAAAAAAACTAATAACAGGTCATTTCTATTTGCAAATGGACAACAATTAGCATTGAGTTGCAGCTAAACATTAGTTAAATGTTTAGTATCTCATAAATTTGCTCCACGATGAGGAGGCACTTTGTACCAATTCATGACGGAGTTCTTTTCGTCGATTGGTTCGTTTCTCACGTCCCATCTGCTCCGTTTTGAGCAGATGGGACGTGTAAAAGTTGACTTTGCCGTTTTTCTCAGGACCGAGTTTAAGGCGTACAAGGATGTAAAACCAGTGAAGCCGATCAAAGCTCCCTCCCAGTATAAACCACCCGGAGAGGAGACCAGCCTGGAAACCAGCTATAGTGCCACATACAAGGGGGAGCAGGTGAAGGCCCAGGCGACTGACAACAAGCTGCTGGAGCGCCGGAGGATACGCAGCCTGTACAGCGAGCCGGGCAAGGAGCCAGCCAAGGTGAGACACCCCCAAACCTGCAAAATCGAACCACCAGTCCTCCTAGTAGCCAGACTTACTCACATTAAAGTCTTTTCCTGTGGCTGCAAAAGAAAATATGTTCATGCTTTGACCTAATGACGGGTCGACGATCAAATTCACCAAACAACGAACCTAAAAATGTGGCTTTGTAGCAATTCATAAACTCTTAACCATACAACAGTTGTTGCTTTTCAAGGCTTCAGAGTAGCTAAAACAAAAGGTGAAATAGTAAATTGAACAATGACAATTCAGTTTAACTGCAAAAGCACAAACCATGTTTTGGATTACAATCCCACTGCTTTCCATATGTATCTCCACCTTTGGTAAAAATATGAAAAATGTCCTGAAACTGGATGAATATTTTACAACATTTTCAAAATATCACATTGGATAGTTTAAAAAAAAATCTGCCCTTGAAATCTGACTGCCTCCTCCTACTAGAACCACTTTATTCGTAGCACAGATAGATTATCTTTCAGACTAAAGGACACAATTTCCGCCAATTGTGGCGGAAATTGTGTCGTAAAATAACACTTCAGGAAATTTAGATCCAATTAAAATGTTTGTGCTCCACTCTCCTAGTGTCCATAGCCCCGACTGGCCTCTCCAAGAAAAAAAAGTTTGCGACACTCCCCTGTTGACAATCCCGTAAAGATAAATGTAACTGCAGTATACTTCATTAGTTGAATTTGATTAGTGTTAATTTATTGCCCTCGACTTCCTCTTTCCAAATGGTACGAGTTCGAAACGACACAGAGGGCTATTTCTCTCAGCAACTCTTCAAAACGGTCAAGACCAGAGAACACTCTCTCGCCGGTCAAATCTTTCTAAGTCAGAAATTGTCTATGAGAAAAATTATATTATTTACAGTCAGAGCGCAGACACTTGGAACCTTGTTTGGATTCATTAAATTGTGAACTATTTGAAAATCCCTGGAAATGTTTCATATATGTTTTTTGGCTTGTGCCAGTGAATATTTTCCTCATGTTCCAAACCTACATCCTGTAAGGTCAACTTCAAAATGGACTACATGTAAAAAGCTTATAATGTGAGATTGTTCTAAATAAATGTACTCAAAATCAAGAGTATTAAACTAAGTATTAAATAAAGTGTAATATATGGATTGTGTCATTTTAAGATAAGTGGAATGGTGTTGTATGAGTTTTTGTCCCTATATCACACTCACTGATGTGCAATGCAGTGCAAAAGTCTTGAGTTCTCCCTCATTTCTTTACATCTCATGTCAAAGGAATTAGATTACAGCTGATAAGGAAAAATGAGAGAAAACAACAGCCAAATGAAATCAAAAGACCTTCAGAAACACACACACACACACACACACACACACACACACACACACACACACACACACACACACACACACACACACACACACACACACACATGCAGACGGTGACTGATACCACTTTAAAATATGCACACACACACACACACACAAAAAAAAACGCTCTTTGAATCAACTGACCAAAAAAGAGGGGTCGATTCAAAACTCTTGCACAGCACGCATAAAACTGGTTTCATCCTGTGTGTATCGCTGGTTTGTTCACGTGGCCGCTCCCTCTCTCGTTCTCCTAGGGCCTCTCAGAGACGGAGAGCAGCTCTGCTCTCCACCTGCTGTAGTCAGGTGTGTTCTCTGTTTCTTCCAGACAAGCATGGAGACTGACCCCCGGGTTGATCAGACGAATGCAGACATGCATTCTGCTCACGCACATTCTCATGCCCTGAATGCATCCCGGCCTTAGCGCGCCTCAGACACACTAAACCACCAGTCCGCCGGAGAACTCTCAGACATGTGCTCACTCTGCGCCCACCTCTGAGGCTGCCACGCCCAGCCCGACTCTGTAGACCCGATGGGACGTGAAACATTTGTTGAAGGAGAGTTAGCATAAATGACTTGCAGAAAAGTGAGCCCTACAACACTTTCAGTGAGCAACAGATAAGAATAAGAGCAAGAGGGTTTCAGTGCTGTCAATCACTCACATGTAAGCGCTGCTCATGATTGAACAAGACCCTCGCTGTGCTCTGTGCCAATCAGAGCCAGATTCTCCTCCTGGCTCTGATTGGTTGTTTCTCACTTAGCTGCAGATAGCAGTAGGACTACATTTGTCTTATACTATGTGTGACAGATTTAAGTTATGAAATGAAATGGTGACAGTTAAGACAAATTTTTTTTGCCAGTTACCTACTGCAGCATTAAGCAAGCATATAAAATCCCTGCTGAATTTATCATTTTTTTCTTATTTCCCATTGTAGACATTACAACAGGAATAGATTATTGCTGTTGAGCTTTTAATAGAGAAACCTATCTTTAATCTGCAGTCGGCTGATTAGCAGCTTTGTTGCCTGTACTTTGCACTTTGCCTCATGTTTATTCACAAAAATACAAAACGTCATTATTACCACCAGACGCAGCCAGAAGACATCTGTCATCATTTAGACTGTTAAGTTTACTTTGTCAAACAAAAGTTGAGCATGTTTTGCAACTTTTTTTGCTTTATATGTGATCATTTGTAGAAGCTGGAAGGTCTTCCACTGGGCTGTGTTTTTTGTCTTTACTAAGGAGCAGAGCTACGCTAAGTGGCTCGCTTTCGGCAGCGCTCTGCTCTCACCATTTCAAAGTCTGTATTTGAACCAACAACCTACAACTGCAAGCTTGCTTGTTAGGTCTCTACATGGTGCCACCGCTAACAGTGTCTGAACTGAAGTATTTCATCCTTAAAGCCATAAGACTAACATTAAATTTCTGATGTGTTGTTCAATTAAAAACTGTTTTTTTTTTTGTTTTGTTTTTTGAGACTGCATGAACCACCATTATGTAGGAAGAAAGGCACAAATACTTTGGTGCTTTTTCCTTTCTAACGGCACTAACCCCTTTTATATCTACCACCTATGCCATAAGGAGGCATTATTTTAAGAGGAAGGGTAAAAAACAAAGGTATGTATGTTTGCATGCAAAAATGGGATTTTTACTCTTATAATAGTAATGTTTTAGGCACATTTTGAACAATGTGCTCAGTGTTTTTTTTGTTGTTTTTTTTACATTTATGAAGAATAAAATGTCTTTTTTTTCCCCCCCAAAAATAATGTTTAAATGTAAAGCTAAAGCCAGCAGCTGAATATCTCGCTGTACTCAAAATTTCACTTAGTAAGAAAAATATCTGAAAAGTTTTCAACCAAAAGGGCTCAGACTAGGAGCTAACAGTTTCTTTTGCTATTATTTAATAAGTAAAATATGTTTTGTTTCTGTTTAAGTAAAATTAAATCAACAATCTACATTTTAAAATAAGACTAGATATCAATATTTCAACACTTTTTAAAAAGATAAAGAACAAAATATCTTAAATATCATAAGGTGATAAAAACCTTACAGTGATTTGTTTTTTGCAGTATGTTAATCTCATGTTGAAAAATTTGGAAAAAAGTACAACTTTAGTTTGAGTACATTTATTCCATGAGGGAACAAATATAATATGAAACCAAGTCATAAAAAAATGGTCCAGTTCTTTCATCGGCCAATATTCTGTGGCAACAGCACAGGAAACAGCACAAACTTCAAAGTACTGAGAGGATCCATTGTTCATTTTTAACCGTCATATTAAGCTAAGATAAACAGCAGCTGGCTCTGGCTTCGGTTTAAAACCCAGACATTGTCCGCTTCGTTCAGACAGCAGGCAAATTCAACCCAAATCTGATCTATTATTTTGCAAATATCCGACTGAAACGCCCAACTAAGATCTTTTCCCACCCTTAAAAAAATCTAATTTGTGCCACTTCTATAGTCTATAGTTCCTAAACTATAGACTGAACGGCCATGTTGTATTTTATATGGTTTTTATGTCATTGACGTGAGGGATGCTTCATGATTCGGCGCCAGACGCGGTAAATCCAGACGTGAACAATGGCTGACACTTAAAATTGTGAAATTATGTATCATCACAAGGCAATCCCACCACTACATCGACTACGCATTAAACAAATTTCTCTAGAGAAGTCGGGCCTCCTTTCAATTGCGATCCTTCATCTTGTTATAATCTTGTGACAATATTTCCAGCTGCCATAGCAAAGCAACTTCAAAATTGATCAACAGACCCATCATTTTCATAAATAGAGTCTATAATTGTTTTTTTTTTTTTTTTTTTGCGCGTTTGGGGTAGTAAACTCTTTACACAGAAAGTCTGATTGTGGACACACGACTCGATAATATGAAATGACCACAAAAAAATTGGAATTGAGGATCAAGGCCTGCCGTGTGAACGTAGCCATCTTTTTTTTCTTTGTTTTCAGACTAAAGGTCAGTACTGTGAGCTTTCTCTTCTTCTTCTTCTTTTTTTTTTAAACCCATCTTCTCTTTTCCAGGTGGACAAACCAACGTCTCGCACCAAACCAAAAAAGGCGCCGACAACAACGACCGGGAAGATGATGAAAAAAGCTAAGGAGAAGCAGGTTCCTGGTTCCCACCTGGCCAAGAAGAAACCGTCTGCGAACACAGCCGAAGCCACGCCAGAGGGAACGGTGACGAAGAAGAGCAAAGAGATCAGCAACAGACTGGCCGAGGCCAAACATTAGACAGGGGTCAACTTGTACGCTTTTTAGGTGTGTGACGACATCGCAGAGAAAGTCATTTTCTTCCTCTTCCGTTCATTTCCTCACCTGTTGGTTCACACGTAGGATCACGTTTGAATGACGTTGAGCTTTTAGGATAATGCAAATAATTTCACTGTAAACCGTATGTGAACGTGTGAATGTTTGTGACTCCTTTGTATTCCGGCGCACGGAACCGCTTTTCTATTATTGCGCACATGATTTGCACATATGAGTTCCACTTGACATTAAACTAAAAAAAATTAGAGTGCTTGTAAAGTGTTGTGACAAAAGCCCAGAGCGAGCCCTCGTTACGTTTCCATTTTGCCTTAAAACAGTCCTGACTTTTGCGTAGGTTTCAAGCCATATTTCTCCAGACTTTTCAAGGATCTCCTTGTTGGACCTCACCTTTTAAAGTAGTCCTTTTCTTGGGTGCCACTTTTTTTTCAAATTAAATTCTCAGTCCTTTTTTTTTAACTTGCAAATGCTGTAGTTTAATTTTCAAAATGCAAAAAAAGAAAAGAAAAATCCCAGATTTTGCTGGAATAAGGTTAAGTTCCAGTGAACTTAGCTAAAAAAAGAGAAACAAAATGATTTGCCTCGGTTATTTTTGTTCCACTGGCTGGTACTCGTTAACACAATACAGGTTAATTGCCTAACTTAGGAAACTCTTTTATGCTCACATGATCTTTTTGAAAACAAACAGTGACGTATAGTGCGCATCATAAAAAAATAAATGAAAAAGTAGTCACTGATGCAAAAGGTGGATACAAAGTCTGGAGAACGTTTGCTCAAACCTGCTTTAAAGAACTCAAGAAAGTTTTGTGCAATGCTAACAAAATCTAAAGCTGCTGTCGTACTGTTTCTTATCCTGTCATGTATTTTTGCAAGTTACCTTTAACCTATTTTTTATTATATTTTTTTTTTACCATGATTGACTGACCATCTTGGGTTGAAAGTCCGACGCTCGTTACTCGCCAAATGAGTGACTCTAAGTAGCCTAATAATTCGAAGCCCAATTAATCAAAAACAGATCCACCTCCAGGCATGTGAAAACCAGTTCATCTTCGTTGGCGCAGAGAGAGCGTCTGCATGTCATAGCCTGAGATGAAAAATAATTTAGATAACAACGTATTGGATCATTTTGATGCTTTCAAAAATTATGAGACAGACTCTTTGTTGGAGACGTGTGCTACAGTATCAGATGCACAGAAAGGTAAACATTATTTACTCAAATATATTCATATATCCTTACAACAATGTGGCGAGGGTATAATGAAATGAGGGGTGTTCTGAAGACTTTTACACAGCACTGACATATGTCTAAGAGGGCTTTCTTCTCTCTGAATGGATGATTACTTAGCTAAGTACTGACATAATTGTATTTAAAAAAAATCTATGTAAAAGAGATTCTTTTTTCATGTCAGTGTTTTTCTTTTCTTTTTCTTTTTTTTTTTGCGACAAGCTCTGTTTTTTTCTGGTTTCCTACTTACAGTGCCTCTGCTGTTTGGTCCTGGTTTTTATTTTATTGTTCCGGGTGATATCTGGCATAATCCGGTTGGTTGTTGGGAAATTCAATTAACCGTAGTAATGTAATTGCTACAGTTTGCATGCAAGACCTTTCTTTTGGTTGAGAGGCAGACTGTACGCGCGGTCACAGTTGCACTCTCGCTTGTAAATGGAGCCTTTAAAGATAAATGTATAGGTGAGATACCTTTTTCAAGTATAATGCATGAGTAGAAATAGATTCTGTTCACAACAAGACATACATTTAACTAGTAATCTCTTTGATTAGTGGCTGGTACTGCTGTAAAAATAACCACACTGGCATTTATGGTTTCACTCTGAAAAATGTTTCTTTTGATCTAAATGCAAACAGGTTCCTTTGATTGGTTTCTGGAAAAACTCTATATTTTATGGCGTTGGCCGCCACACACTCCTCTAAGTTGTGATCATATAGTTGAGCTCATTTAGGAAAAATAAAAACAATCGCTATCTTAGTGAACGGGCTGATCTCTCCAGGTGCTTAAGGGCAAGGAATGGGCCAGGACTTCAAGCTCAGCTCTTTGAAATGCTGCTGAAAGTTTCTGCTTCTCTGTGTGAGCTTGTGTGTGTGATTCGGAAAGCTTGTTTCTGTGTCTGATCTCCTTCAAGCCTGCCGCCCGCTAAGATCACAAGATCCACCAGAAGTGCTGCTCTGCACTCTTAACACCTTGGTGCTATCTCTCTCATCCTTCACGCCGTGGGGTCTGGACCGCTGCAGCTCCGGACCAGATGGCAGTGACGATGTCATACAGGCTGCAGATGTGTTGTGATTCTTATTTTCCTTTCTTTCTTTTTTTGTGCTTGTAAACTCAGCTTGCTCTGAATGAATTGAATTAAAATAATGGTGCAGACTCCAGTTTTGTGACTTGTTGAATTATTTCTTGTCCCGCAAAGAAAAATTCAGACATGGATTACGGAAGACCAAAAAAATAAAGCGTGGTCACATTATTGTTTTCATTTATACATACAAATACATTTATATAATAAAAATGCTTGGAATCTGTATTAAAATATACTTTATTTTAATCAGGTAAAGAACGTTTTTGTTGTTTTGTTAGATTTGGGTGAATATTTTAGAAAACCCCATTTCAAGCATGACATTTCTTTGGCTTCTATTTATTGCATTTTCAATTTTTACTTTAACAATGGTAAGAAAACATGTCAATATATTTTAGCAATTCAGCATTTTTGTCAGTTTCTAGAAAGAAAAAAAAAAAAAAGACTAAACGTGTCGTAAGCCGAGCTCCATCACTACAGGCTGAAGCAGAGTCACTTGTTTGAGAAACAAAAGGAAAAGACCTGAAACAGAACCTTAAGGAGATCATATTCTTCCTCCCTTTGCATGCTGGCAGTCACTTTTTAGTGATCAAGCCATCCAGACTAAAAAAAAAAAAAATCTATTAATAATTCAGCACTTACGGGCCTTGTTTTGCAGAGCACCATGAAATATTAAATATGAGGTGAGTGATGGCTCTCGACTGCTTGGTTAGGGTTTCATCTTATTCCTTGTTCAGCTGCAGTTTGACGGTGTTCAGGATGAAAGATGTGAAGGAAACCAACCCGTGTGACCTGTGAATGAGGAAACAGCATCCGGATGTCCGGTCAGTCAAAGGTGACTGATGGTTTACACACAAATGCAGCTACTGTTCAGTACGTATAATTGCACTGTAGCATAAGCAGCATTTAAGCAAACCTTTTTTATTTTTGTAAGCTATCTGTATGTGTTCAGTTGGAAGACTTTGAGCTGCTATATTCCTTCGTCAGGCTTGCTTTGGTAGTGTTAATGCCAGCAAATCCTGACCTCTAGTGGAGAACGTGTGGAATTGCTCACTCATCAACTCCTTCGGTTTCTGTGGATTATGTGTATTTGTTTTATATACTGGAGCAAAATGTAACCAAAAGGGTACATTTCAGTTACATTTAGCTCCAGATGTGACTAATTTAAAACTTGAATATATTAAAGTTCTCTTTCAGGTACTAGAAATTGAACTTTAACATATTCAAGTTAAACAGAAATCTCACATTAGATTACCAAAAAAAAAACCCATCCTAATCTGTATAAATGTTTTTTTAAAGTATTTCTATTTTTATTTTTTTAAAAGTGGTGTGTTACACATACTGTATACTCTTCCCCATATTTGTAGTACTAATATTACAGCTTTCAAATTCTTTTTTTTATGATTTCTGCCCAACTTTTTGCAAGTTCCCACTAGTATTTTTTATTTATCATCTTTGTGATGTAGGAAGATCTCATTTGGCTAATCTCCAGCTCTTTGACAACTCTCTTCCAGATCTAAGACAGAGAGGCTGAGCTGGTCCAGATTTTCATTGTCTGAAGAAGAAGACTCTTTTAAACCTAAATTTGCCAGAAATATGACACTTGGTGCTTAACCGGACGCATTTAAGAACTACAAAGAAGGTGTGGTAGAATTCTTACAAACATTATCCTAGTATTGTTTTTATGTTCTTAGGTTTGAAATGTTCAATATTTTCTGATGTTTAAATATCATACAACCTTTAAAAAGTAGGTGAAAACTGATATAAATAATACATACCCAAACAAGTTCTAACGCGTATTTAGCTTCACGTGGGAGGAAGTGGCAAAAAAAAAAAAAAAAAACACTAACGAAATAAAAGTGTCAAAACTACTCTCCTCTTGAAGAAGTGCCGTGTCCCTGCGTGACATTTAGGGTCATTTCAGAACGGAGGACAGTCGCTGGCGGTCCGCTCCCGACTCAATCCGAGGGAGCGCCGAAGAAGAACCACTTCCGTTTTCGTGCCGAAACAGGAAGTAAACAAAGCAGACGAGCTGCAAGGAGGGAAGGAGAAGGAGTAACCGAGAAGTAAGAGCTGCTCAAGATTTACTTGGAAATATAAGGGAACCTTACGTTTTTATAGCTGTGTTCATAACTCGACTGAGACCGTATTAGAAATGTCTAGCGTCTTTTTTATTTTTTTTTAAAAAAAGAAAAGAATTAAAAAGCACTAATATGGCAACTTATTCCAACTTCAGCGACGGTTATGAAACCGTTAGCCAAATTTCGACGTAACGTAACTAATAACCGGTTTCCTGTTGGATTCGTTTCGAAGGTGTCAGAGTTTTGTTTTTGTTGTTGTTTTGCTGGTGCTGAAAATAAAAAAAAGTGGGGTTGTTTGTTTTCAGTTGCGTCGGAGGAGCACCGATCGCTTTATCATGATGACGACGAAGCGGCTGGAGAGCTTCGAGGTGGACTGTGAGTGGGACTCTTGCAGCTTCAGGGGCCACAGCATGGAGGAGCTGAGCGACCACATGTCCCTGCACCTGAGGGACTATCTGGGAGACAAGGACGCCCTGGAGGAGCTGGGTGAGTCGGACTACATGTTGGAAACCTCTGCGTTAGAGGGAAGTTACAACTAGAGATTATTGCATCTAAATAAATAAGAATATCATCCAAAAGGTAACTTGTTTTAGCGTTTCGATTAAAAAAAAGTACACTCATTAAACATAAAGAATATGTAGAACCTTGCTTGTAAATACACTGCTCAAAAAATAAAGGAAACACTCAAATAACACATCCTAGATCTGAATGAATGAAATAAATATGAAAATAATTTCCACCTGTTGTCTATTTCATTTGCACAACAGCAGGTGATATTGATTGTCCATCAGTGTTGCTTTCTAAGTGGACAGTTTGACTTCACAGAAGTTTGATTTACTTGCAGTTATATTGTGTTGTTTGAGTGTTCTCTTTATTTTATTTGAGCAGTATATTATTATCATTTTAAATTATACTGAATTTAAAATCATATTCAGTAGCATTATTTTAAATATACTACTGAATATTAAAAATAATATTCAGTAGCAAAACACATGTTACAAAAAATATGCCAGCTATTTGGAGAGCTGTTCCTTGGTTGTTTGAGTCATTTTATCATGTGGCAATACTTCATTTCTATACACAGACGTGGCCTTTTTTTCCGTAAACCTTCTTTCATTTTCAAAATGTACTTAAATTTTGCATATCTGTAAGCCGGTCACAAAAACAAGTTTTTGTTGGAAGATAAATTAGATAGATGGATAAATAAATGCTTTACTTCCTCTGAGGGAAATACTGTATATTCAAGTCTCTTGTAAACATCAGCACACATAAAAAAATAATAAAAACCCTATGTACATGTTCATGTGCATTTTATTAAGGTTAAACAAGCTTTTCTGTGGTGAAATGTTACTTTTTTATACAAACGGAATCTTATTCTGGCTGTTTTTTTTTTAACCATAATGTGTAAAAATCAAAAATAAGGAAATTTTTTCTGAGATAATTTACAACAGGCGTTAAAAATGCATAACGCCTCAGTATCTTTTAATTAGTACGATATTTAAGGGGGAAACTTAACATGCAGATGTCGTGCTGATGCTGCCGTTTTAATTGCTGCTCTCTGTTTCACTTCAGATGAGTTTGCTTGTCTGTGGAGCGGATGCGAGTTCCTTTCCATGGGCAGCCCCACAGAGCTGGAGGTTCATGCCTACTTCCACAACTACCACGGAAAACTCAAGTTCATTGGCTCACAGCTGCTGAAGTCCCGCCCCGATCTCCCCGGCTGCAACCAGGGCGCGCACAGCCACAACCTGGTGCCAGAGGGCTCCGAGGGATACGCGTGCCAGTGGGAGCATTGCGACGTGGGTGTTTTTCTCAGTGGCAGTCGCTGCTTGTTTAGCGGTCATTGGTTATTAAGAGTGCTTTTAAAAAAAAAAATCTATTTGCAGAGCACTTTTAACAATCCCGAGTGGTTCTACCGCCACGTGGACAACCACGTAGAAAGTGCCGAGCAGCAGTCTCTTTCCCAACAGCAGGCGCTCTTCTGCAGCTGGGCAGGTAGGACGGGGCGGGGAGTCCTCGTCGGTCGGCGTGTTGCCGCGTCGGCGCTCTAACCGCCCCTTCTTTGCTCCGTCCCAGGGTGCGACGCCTTCTTCAAGATAAGGTACCGCCTGAGGGAGCACATGCGGAGCCACACTCAGGAGCGACTGGTGGCCTGTCCCACCTGCGGCAGCATGTTCTCCAGCAACACCAAGCTGTTCGACCACCTCCAGAGGCAGGCGGAGCCCATAGGTTGGTACTCACCGTTTGAAATGTTTTTAAGGATGCCATGTATTTGCTCATGTATTTTTTTTAAAATTTTTTTTATTGAATCAGAATCCCTTGTATGTGAACATTGTGGCAAAGCTTTTCCCAGCGAGAGGCTCCTGAGGGATCACATTCGCCAGCACGGTAAAAAAAACAGCCATCAGTTTATTACCAAATAAAGGTTATTTTATGAGATGAATCATACTTCAAATGTTTTTGCCTAGATAGGTGTTTAAATTTAGACCAAAATAGAGATGGGTGATATAGTTTTAAAGAAAAATCTGTAGAGAATTGAAAACAAAACCTTTACCACAGTAATAGTTTTATAGTGATAAGAATAAAAGGGGCGATAAGAACTATTTATTACTTCTTTTTTAGGTCACTGTCTGGGTGTGACACAGCAGTCATAGTCCCACATATACAAATATTTATTGTGAAAAATATTTCTGTATGTAATACGCTTTTTATGTGACACCAGTCACATAAAAATGAAGAACTATTTGTATCATTAAGCTGCACACAGTAACTGCATTTACAGTAACCATGTTTTCAAATTTATTGCTGCACCTTTATTAACAAAACTATGACTTTTAAATCAAAGTCTACTGAGAAAACTGGTAGATGAAGTACGAAGTGATCCTCCAAGCTTTCTGCTTTTCTTTTATTTTCATGGTTACAAGGACTTCATCTTTTCATCAGATTGTGTACCCAAATCTTGTGTATTAAAATAAGACTAAATACAGCAAGTGTTTTCACTTGCTGTGAAAAGGGCTTTATTTCTGAGAAGAATTGAAATTATTTTTTTCTTCCAGTTTTCTGTAATTGCACCCAAAATAATTCTCCATGACAAAATGTTAATTCTATGATCCTATTTCTACACAGACACATAAAAAACATGGTTTAAATAAAATTGTTTATGCTTGGAGTATCATTGAGTAGGTAGAAAAACAAAATAAATAAACACTCTTGGTGATTTTATTTGTAAAACCTGTTTGGCCCATTTTTGAGTAACAGAATGGAAGCGCTAAACGTGTTAGCATGCCATAAATAGTCCTGCTGGACGTTGTTTGTAAAAACCGTGGGTCTGTTTGGTTGGCAGTGAATCAGGTCAAGTGTCCCTTTTGCGATATGACCTGCACCACGTTAGCAGCTCTGAAGATCCACATCCGCTTCCGCCACTGTGACGAGCGACCGTTTCCCTGCGACTTCTGCGACAAAAGGTATGCGTCCAAAACTGATCCTCGTTCTAAGGTGGGAAGATTTCTTTTTTTGTCTTGTTGTAGCCAAGGTGCAGCAGGGCATTTCAAGTAATCGAATGTATTGGTCAGCTTTGCTTTTCACTCAAAACAATCAAAAAACAACATTGTAGTCAAGGACATTTATTTATTAGCCAATATAACGATAGTATAACGAAGGCATTTTGTCCCAACATGCCTGTTTTATAATGTTTCACAGACATTTTTCTTGCTGTAAAAGGTTGGTTTCCTATCCCACTTGGGCTCATTTTAAAGTTGTCATTTATTTATTTTTTTGATGACAGGTTTAAAAACCAACGCGATCTCCAGAAGCACACAGACGTTCACAATGAAGGTACCGTGTATCACTGCACAGTTGAGGGCTGCGATTATTCCTGCTACACGCTGCAAACCGTGAACCACCACTTCAAGAGAGTTCATGAGGTCCGTGGAGCGTGCATAAGCTCCCAAAATGACACGTTTTTAAGATACTTGATTAAAATGGTTGCCTTTTGGCCAACAGGCTGGAGGGATGTCGAAATATAAGTGTCACATCTGTGATAAGGTCTTCTCCTGGTGTTACACGCTCACGCTTCACCTCCGAAAGAAACACGAGCTGAAGTGGCCCTCTGGGCATTCACGCTTCAGGTAAACATTTAGCTGAATGCGCCTTTAATCATGCCCACTGCATGATTCTGCCTCGACTGTTTTCTGTTATAAGGAATGTTTGTACGTGGGATTTTTTCCCGGTGCTTTGAACCTAAAATTTTATGGTTCTGACAGAACCAGAATTCTGACTGATAAAATCCTGATGCAATAAACTGTAATGTGAAAAAAAAATCTAAAGGTTTGAGCTTGGGATAGGCTTTGAAAAGCAACTCAGACTGTAAATGTTAAAAAGTGGGTTATTTGTTGAAGCTGCAGTATACAGCTTTTATAAACTGTTTTTTATTTTTATTGAAACCGTCACTTGTTACAGTATAATATGAAAGAAAATCTGTGTGGGAAAACAAAACAAAAAAAACTAGCCTAGCGGAGAGCATGGTGGACGGTGTGAGCAGCTTACACTAGCTTGATTGACAGCACTAAGACCCTCCTCCTGGCTCTGATTGGTTGTTTCTGACTCACTGTATCTCTGCAGATAGCAGTAGGGCCACCGGTAGAACAGCCTGTTCTTTTATCTTGTCTCACAATATAGTGAAAATTTTAGCAAATATGTAGAAAACTGCAGTTTTCTTGCTTAAAAGCTGCAGCTTTGAACATTTACTTCAGCTAATCAATAACATGATTTGCACACAGATACAGGAAGGACGTCGACGGCTTCCTAAAAGTAAACATGGTGCGCTTTGAGACTGTCGAGGTGACGAAGGAGATAATGAAGAACATGGCTGAAAAGCCGCGGAACCTTCGGCAAAGTCAGAGAGCCAACAGCTCCAAGAAGAAAGCCGCCGTCGCCCCGGAGAGCGGCCGCAGCTCCCCCGCCGGATCCTCCTCGCCCTCTTCCAGCTCCTCTTCCTCGTGCTCCTCGGACCTCTCCGGAGGGGAGGACGCGTCGTCCCAGCACAGCCCCAGAGCAGCAGACTCCCCGGTCTACTGCATGATGACGACCATTCCTCACATCGACGACGAGCCCGGAGGAACATCGCAGGACGACGGCGGCGGTACTTCCGGTGCCGTCCAGGCTCTGACGGAAGTGGCGAGGGGTCTCGGGATGGACGTGGTTTAATCGCTCGGAAATGTCCAGCTGAGACTGTTATGTAGCGGCGCTTTTTTGTTTGTTTCGTTTTGTTTTAGCCTCGGAGCCGACAGCAGAAAGCTGACAGTTTTATTTTTAGTGGAAGCTTTCTGCCCCGTGCGCTTTTTCCCGAAAGTGACCCATTCCATTTTAAAACTACTTTTATTGTCGGGGATGTCATTGTCCAGATTATTATTGTCCAGACGTCGGGCTGCGTTTCTGTGAACAAAGCCGGAAAATGCACTGCTATAGTTAAGCACCTGTGTCAATATATTCTTTAGATATTTGCTCATCTAAAGATTTTATTTTTCATATCATGGTCAAAGATGGTATATTTATAGAAGCATAAGCATTTTTTTTATTATTATTTTTGCTCCGTTGCACTGAAATATTTTAACTATTGGGTACTTTTTTTGTAAGTTGAGAATTGGATTCCAACTAAAAAAACATGAATTCAATAGACTCAATTTTTCTTGAGGTAATTTATTTGTGATGAGAACTTATTTATTGAACTGTCCAGATGTCTTAAGCCATTTCTAATTTCTTTACATTTTGCTGCAGTTAAGTAGCAAAATTACTTTAGTCTTTTCAAGTGGTTCTTAACACATCTGAGGGTTTCATTTTGATATTTGCTAGTTTCTCCATTAGTTTTTGCCTTATGATAGCAGCGATTTGTGAGCTGAGTGGTTGGGCTTTAAAAAAAATAACAGAATATCTGTATTAAAATCGTACTCCATCAAATGAAAAAAAAAAATTAAACAAAGAACCCAAGAAATGGAAATGCATGGAAAGTCCTGGTTAATATTTGTGTTCTTAGCCAGCTGTGCATGGGTATCTTCACAAAGTAAGAGTGATATTTTAAAGCAAATTAAAACCGAACAAGAAACTACAATGGTGTATTAAAGCCATTGTAGAGCTTAAAAAAAATTCTAGAAATTTTCTAGAAGTAACTTGGAAATTTCAAAGTTTTTGTAGCAAATGTCCAACTTTTTCTGGAAAATTTCTGAGACCAATTTAAAAAAAAAAAAGATATTTTTTTAGTTTGGCTCTATTGCCTCAAAATACCTTTGCAGCAACCTGGTTTTTAGAGGAATGACATTTGTCATCACAACGTTTCCAGAGCAGATTAAGGACCAATCAGCTCTGTGGTTTGTAGGAGTCCAGAGTTATAAACTCAGGATCAGAGCTGCTGTTCTACAGCAGGGACAGAAACGGCGGCAGCGCGTTCTGGCCTGGAAGGTAAACGGAGTCCAGAGGAGAGTAAACGTGAGGCGCAGGCGGAAACCGCTCACAGAGATACTCTTTGAAGACTTCCTGCCTCAGATGGACGTCCGCTCTGTGGCTCCACGATGCAGTTTGGTAGGGATGCGGCTCTGCGCCCGGGTAAGAGACGCAGCAGCAGGACGCGCGCAGCCCGCTGACGCTCGTCAGCTGCGCCCGCATCCTGCTCGCGGAAGGGTCTGCGCAAGGTGCGCCTTCCGCTCCCCGCTTCAGCCTCTTCACGCCGTCGGAGCTGCAGCCCTCCAGGCGCCGCTTCCAGTCGAGGGAGCCGCTCTCCGGGTCGGTTCGGCAGCTCTCGGGTCTCTCCGGATCCGCTTCCTCATCGGGCAGGTTTGTGATAGAAAATTTCATCACCGTCTCCCGAGGAAGGCTGAGGGACTTCTGATGGATTTTCTGTCAAGCCCACCATAAAAAAAAAAAAATAAATAAAATGCTTCTTTTTTGTTTTTTTGCCATGCAAGCATAAAAAAATATCATTGCAATATTTTAACTATTGGGTAATTCAGCTGTGATTTTGTTACCAGTTCATCAGCACTTTGTTGAAATTTAAACTTCGTTTGTGTTTTTTGTTAGTTTTACATTGAAAAATAGATAAAGTTACACACCTTGAGTTGTTTGTGGTAATAAATCCTCCATGCAATATAGACATGCAGACAACTGCTGCTTCTTCTTCTTCTTATCTGGGAGGGAAAAAAATAAATGAACAAACTGCTTTACCAGTTTTAAATCAAAGACATCTCAGCATACATATTTTCTTTTAAACCCTCATTTGATGACGTGCACATCCATTTTAGATACGTGTCAAAAGTACACGTAGAGTATCGACAGATCAGTTTCGATCCTGGTTTCTTCGATTAATTGCGGATCTGCAGGACTTCTGTGCTGCTCGGTGAAAGGCGCAGTCAAAGGGAAGACGGAAAAGATGACCCGTTTCAAAGGCAGCTGGGTCGAAGCACCGACAGGACCGACAAATACGACTCCCCATTTAAAAAAACAAACAAAAACGAATCTCCTTACATTTCTGTCCTGGTGTCCCATCGGTGGGTAGGCCGCCGGGGGTCTGGCTGGCAGGGGCGCGAAGGCGTGCAGACTCCTGTTGACGCTGGTAAATCTGAGACGGAGACAAAACGATTATCCGATTAATCGTTTTGTCTGGATCTCTACAGATAAAACAAACAAATCAGCTTTATATCCAGTCACTTTTATGTGGTGGGGAGCAACTTTTCTCCTGACAAACAGCACAGTATCTCGTTACAGAAGATTGCATTACAAATGGTAATCCTGTTCTGCTAATCCAGCAATCCATTTATTACATTAAGAATGCATCCACTCCAAGGACACCTGATTAGCGATTAGTTTGGAAAACCGATGCCGTTATCCGTCTGGGTGACTCGGTTTGGCAAATATTTGTCGTCACGGGCGAGAAAATGTTCCAGATGTTTTGTTTTCTGGAAAGAGAAGTTTGTGTAGCGCATTTAAAGTGAAAATGTATGTAAAATATGAGTTCAGTGCAAGGACATAATAAAGGAAACTTTTATGAAAATGAATCATTTCAAGACAACAGGTTTGGTTTTTAACCTCGATTTAAAGGATCCCTGTGTTTCTGCTGTTTTCTGGAAGTTTGCCCCAGATTTGTGACAAATGGAAGCCGAGTTCTGCTTCTCCATGTTCGGTTCTGGTTCTGGGGGAGCAGAGGTCAGAACCAGAAGAGCTGAGGGTTCTGGAAGGTTGACCCAAATGGCAGTAGATCTTTTATTGTGGTGCTAAGCAGTAATTTATAAACTAACAGCAGGATTTTAAAGCCTATTCTCTGAGCTCTGTAGGTTTTTTTTATTTTTTTTATGCTGACCTGTGAGGATGCTATTGTAATCAGTGCAAGTAAAGATAAACGCATGGATGAGTTTCTCTAGATTCTAGTTTCTCTTACTGGGTCATTAGTCCCCTAATCTTGGAAATGTTCCTCAGGTGACAGAAGACTGATTTTGCAACTGTCTTTATGTGGCTCTGAAGGCTCTCCCAGATTTCCCACCCGATCCAGTTTCCAGCTGTGCTAGCTGTGTGCTGACTCTAGATTGTTCTGATTATATATATATATATATATAAACTTTCAGCTTACTGCTGCACATGAGCTGAAAGTACTTACAGAAAATATCAGAAAACGGTTTCCGTAATCTGTTTTTGACAAATGTACCAACTTGCAAGATTTCTGTTATGATTTAGTTTTTCTGTTTAGAAAAACAAAGCAATTGCTGATCTTGCATCAAAGGTTGATGAACAAAAGAATCTGCTAGTGAATCTCTAATCAATGGGGGAAAGATCACTGCTGATATTTTATTTAGCTTTCAAGTGAACAGGTTGGAAAAACATTTCAGCTCGTCTTCCATTTACTGCCTTGACAGAGAACAGCTCTGTTTGGAAGTTCAACCCTTGCTAATCATTTTGTCTGACTCGAGATGAAAAGTTGAGTTTGAAGTTATTTTGGTCTCATTTCAAGACTAAGAACTTAAACAAGTAAGTAAGTAAGTAAGCAATTTGTCATTTCTGCTGTGCAAAACCTCGATCTACCTCATTTGGTGAATTTAGTGGTAAAAGTCAAGACAGAAAATCTAGAAAACAAACATATTTCTGCCACAAATCTCAGTCCCACCTGAGCATCATCGAATCCCGTCCTTCAGTTAAAGTCTGGGCCGCTGGATTCTCTCTTCCACCGCATCCAGGCCTCAGCATCTCACACACCCGGCGCTGTCCGTCTCTGAAGCCGCAGTCTGTTCCTGCGAGCCGGTTCTCTGCAGGCCAATTAGTCAGTGTTACTTATCAACACCAGCAAAGACCATTAACTACTCCCAGCTGCTTTTGCTAATCTCATCATCCCTATAAACCTTTCTGATTGAGTTTAGGGGGAAGACGGCTTACTGTGGCAGCCAGGAGGAGGAAGAGACGACGCAGCAATTTGAGATGAGGATGAAACGTAACGCGCGTTTAGCTCCAGCCCCATTTTATGACACGTTTGAAGATTTCAAATGGCATAACGAACATCATTTTGATCTTGCTTGGTGATGTGATTTTCAGAAACATTGATTTGATTAGATTTTTTGATTTTTTTTCTCTTATTATTGCTGTTGAGAATTTTCCTCTAAAGAATCTCCATTCTCTTCTAAAAGATGCTTTTTTCCCCCTTCTTCTTGTGGAAAGGTAACAGCAATGCAAAACCAAAATGAATAGCAATGCCATCTACCCTGCAGCAAGTTTGGCAACTTTTCAAAATGCAAATATCTTGCGAAAGACAAGCGTCTGCACTATAACTCAGTTTTTGTCTTTTTTTATTTTTTTAAAGATAGAATATGAGAATTTGAATTGATTAAAGGACGGGGCATTTGACAGAAGCTATTGAAAGCAAACAAAAATAGCATCACAGTCCAATTTTGTTTTTATTTGACAAAAGGAAAAAAAAAATCTGTTTTGGCAAAAAAAAAAAAAAAACTTTAGGAATGTGACAGTATTTTTTTTTTTTGTAAAACAAAATAGATTTAGTTGGCTAATAAGACCCTTTTTTCCATCACAATATTCCAGAGTACTTTGTTTTCTTATTTTTGTGGGTTTTTTAAGAACAGGATGCGTCTGAGCCAAACAGCATCATGTGAGGTCACCGTTAAGCTGAACAGGATGGCCTAATCAAAGTAAGGATTGCTTCCGTCCCGCTCCCGGTAACGAACACAAACTTCGGGGTTTTCCCGTCTAAATGTCCCGTCTCCACGAACCGTGTGGCCCCACCTCAGGGCTGATCGTCCCGTACGCCCCCAAGGCCCCTGACTCAGACGCCACCCTTCAACCAGGCCCCATTAAGAGGAACATAAGATGGTGATTGGATGAGGCTTTGGGATGACATGTTCTCCTTGATTAGCTAATTCCATTCTCACAAGCGTCTCAATCCTGTTAGTGTGGGCAGGGATTGGGCTGCCAGGCTGTTCGCCCGCAGAACAGAACTTCACCCGCGATAAGCCACGTCTCCACCCGGTGCCAGGGCTCATTGGACCGGCCTCAACGGCTTCTGGGAGGGATAAACAAATCAATCAAAATAAGTAAATGAGCTTCAAAGTCAGCCTCTCCTGTGTTTTCTTCTCAGGGTATTATATGCTCTTAAATGTATGACCAAGTTCATCATTTTCTTTTTGTTTTTAACAATACAGAAGTCAACATAGAAATGTACTTTTGGGGCATTCAGTGATTTTCCTGAATTGTTCTTTTTTTGTTTTTTCCAGTTGTTTTAAAGTAGAACTGGGAAGCAGACACACGATTGTATTTGTTGTGTGGATTAGGTTTAAAATGATTACTTTAGTCCTCCAATATGACTATTTCCAGTGATCCAGCCAGCATGCATCTTTAATCTCATGGAGTTAAGGATTAGGGTTACGGTGAAGAAACCTGTTGGAACATCAAGGATGACTTAGTGTCACTGCAAGCATATAAAATAATTGCTCATTTAAGTAAACAATGCCAATAATTTCATCTTCTTGCTTTTCTGACGAAAACAAATCCAAAGTGAGATTTGCATTTTGAGAGAAGTGGCCGACGAATCTTTTCCATTAAGTGAAAATCAAAATCTGCCATTGGTAAAATACATTTTTGGTGTCATTTTATTTCTATTTTTAAGAAATATTAGTGTGAAAAATGTGTCCCTTAAATCCATCCGTTGTGACGGTTTAGGTCTAAATATTTTGCAACCCCTTTCTGTCTTCCCCATCACTCTGCAGTAAAAATAAGCATCTCTGATGATAGTGTTGCTACGGCTAAGTTTCACTGTGGGATTTTTCATCACCAAAAAAAAAAAAAAAATTCTTGGTTGAACGGAGCCTGATTTTCACGCCTTTTAGTTAGTAGAAAACAAAAAAAGAAAATAAATTTTACTCCCACCTCACATTTTGGTTCCACTTTGCAGCGTTACATCCTACAAGACGCCGAGAAAGTACGTCGACAACGTGACAAAACCCCGAAAAAGTTGAGGACTAAATAAAAGTCCAGTCAGAATGTTTTGGCAGGTTCTGGAGGCCGCCTCATTTTAGTCCCGGCGGCCTGCGTTTCTCAGTGAAAGTGAAAATGCCAAGTGTCAAAAGTCACCACCACGCAGTTAAGGTAGACGCACTTTATTCCTAAAACAGAAGCTGCACCATCAGTAGCGGCACACAGCTATATGTACACACACAATTACCTAAATCTGTTATATAAAATATATAATCTGACAATGTACCTTTAATTCCTCTTCAGAGCTCATCGAGTTACTGTGCGAGAGAGACAGACAGACAGACAGAGAGGTAAGTCTCGTCCACTCACTGGGTGGGACAAGGGGGAAAAAAAAAAAAAATGCCCAGGCCAGTTTTTAACTTCGTTTTTACAGCATGGCAATAAAAAGGTCTGAATCCCCCTTTTGAAAAAATAAGATTCTAAAAGCAATCTACAGCAAATTCACTGTAACAGGTTTCTCTCTCTCTCTGTCTCTCTGTTTCCGTCCTCCAAATGAGAAAAAAAATTACACTTCTTGAACCAATTCCTTTACAGCGAGATGTACACACCCTCTAGGATTTGGAATATATAAAAGATATTAAGCATTAAAAATTCCACATTTAAAAACTTACAATAAATAATATATGCAGGCATTTTATTAAGATAAAATTTCTTAGATTGCAATCTACTGTCATTAAAAAGAAGTTGTATTTTTTTTTTCTCCCCTCCTCCTTTACGAAACGTCTCTCGATCATCCAAAATGCTGAAAATGGATTCTTGGCATTTGATTTATTGGGGCGGGACTTTTCCAGGTCGGTGTGTGAAGAAAGACGTACACTGGGCGGAGGAGGAAGAGGAAGAAGAGAGCGCCTTCGCGACGTGCGCAAAGGGAAAAAAAAAAAAAAAAAAAAAAAAAAAAAAAATCATTAAAAATCCAGAGTTCGTCTTGGTGATTCCTCAGATCAGAAGTTTGATCTTGTTAAGACTTTCAGAGCATGTTCATGATGAAGTTGTAGATCTGTGTGAGCACCACGAAGTGAACGGGCAGACAGGAGCGCCGGTCCTGGGTGGCGGGGTTGCACGTCAGCCAGGAGAGGGCGTTGTACTGCTCCAGGACAAATCTAAAAAAAAAAAAAAACAACAAAAAGAAGGTAAGTATTGAGGAGCAACAGATCTCGTCGTCCCTCTTTAGAGTGGACGGTTTGGTTTCCTACCTGAGCACGTCGGAGGTGTGGTTAGAGTCCAGAGGGTGGGAGTGTTTACTGTGCAGGAGCTCGTCTGATTGGACAGAAGACGCGTGCAGGTGCAGAGATGCCTGGGAAAACGGTGCAAGTGCAGACTGAGTCATTCATGTCTTCTAAAAAATAAAAGGTCTAAAGGTCGCATCACCTGAACTTATGTTTAAATAGACGGCAATAGATTTGCTTATTTGCTTCTTTTAATGCGTTTCGAATAATGTGAAAAAGAACAACAAAAAAAAGGTTAAATAAATAAAAATGAGCAAATAAAAAAAAAAATATGATTAACAGTCAAAATGAACGACAGAACAATCGATTTCTAAAATACCCGCTAGATGTGGACCTAATTTGCACTGAAAAGACTCAAGTAAGCGCCGGTACCTTGAGGAAGAGCGGGCACTGATTCTGGGCTTCGGGACAGGCGGACCAGAACCAGTCGGGCAGCGGCCCCGCCTTCGCCGTGGAGATGAAATAACCCAGAGCCATTGGCTGCTGCAGGATGCTGAGAGCCTCCTCGTGGGACTCCATCCGATCCGCACCCTGGCCCTGGCAGCACAAACACCAACACATCCAGTTTTATTGAACCATCAACAGCAACAGAGGTAGCTGCTAGTTTTCTACTGCAAAAAACCCCAAAACAACCCAACATTACAGTAATTATTGAAATGAGTCATTTTAGGCTTTAAAATGTCTTTTTCTCCACTGTGAAATGATGACATCCACCACTTCAATTTGGAACAAAGAAAAACTCATTTTCTGTAGCTAATCAGTAACAATATGTCAACATAGTGCTGCTCTCCAGTACGTTTTGAGCTTTTGAGTAAATTTTTTTTTTTAGTCCTCCATCTCTGTAGGTGAAAATTGATTTAGGAAGGAATAAAGGTCGTTATGTAGCTTCTGGAACAATCTTCACCATCAGCTCAACGCACAATAGTAGGAAAACGGAATTTCCGATCTCGACCTCTTCCCAGAGATGATGAGACGAGTGGGCCTGTTCAGCTCTTGTGGATGTGGATGGGGGGGGGAAATACTCAAGAGTTCAGACTTGATCTGGTCTTTTCACAAAAACGACATTAATTTCGTTTGGACCGACCTTGCCCGCTTCTCCGTGGTGGTAGTGGTGTCCCGGCGAGTGGACGGGCGAGGTCGTCGGGGAGTTGGGCAGGATGTTGATGAGCTCTGGATCCATCTCGCTGCCAAAGAAGTCAAAGATTCCCATCCCCTCGGATCCGTCTGCAAGCGGGGAGAAAAAAAAAGAAATAATAATAAAAAAAAAAAGAAGAAGAGAGAATCAAGTTTGACTCCCGGCAGTAGAGACGATTTGATGGGATGCCGACGGCTCTTTGGGGGCGGAGGCCTACCGGAGTTGATGTGGTTGAAGCTGATGTCGTCTTGCTCCGTGGTGTTAGTGTTGACCTGCACCATGGCCGACGTGGGGAACACCAGGATGTGCGTGCAGGACGTGTCCTGCGGCGTGCTCAGTTGGGACGTCTGCATGTTGAGGGTGGTGCTGCGACCGAACACCGAGCCGGTCGACACAGAGTCTGGAACGCGGCGGATTTATATCCGTTTAAAAACAGAGTAAAGGACGCACTTTTGTTTGTTGAAGACTCGTCGTCTCACCTGGCATGATCACAAAGGACCCCTGGGGCTCCATGGCGACCAGGCAGGCGCTCAGGATGCTGGGCGTGTCGGCAGCGGAGATGCCGCACATCCTACACGTCTCCTTCAGACGCTTACTGAGAGACTGCAGGTTTTT